TTCTCCACCTGCTCCCAGCACCTAGTCAGCAACTCCAGGGTGCAGTCGTAGGCAGAGCCAATGAGGCGCCGCGCCTCCTCATCAATGAGCTGGGCAGTGGCCTCACTGTACGGCTTTTCAACCAGGGCTTCACCTTGCTGGAGGATGCCGAAGGACACCTGGCCCAGCTTCTCACTCATCCCAAACTACACAATCTGCAAGTACAAAAGGAGCAGAGGGTGAGCCGCCCCCAACACAGCCACCAGGAGCCACTCACAGGACAGCTGCTCTTTACCTGGGTGACCTTCCTCAAGTCATCCTGAGCCCCAGTAGTGATCTGCCCAAAGAACAGCTGCTCAGCCACCCTGCCGCCCAGCATCATGCACATGTGGTCAAAAAGCTGCTCCCGCATATAGAGGGACTGCTCACGGGGAAGGTACTGGGCATACCCCAGCCCCTTGCCCCAGGGGATGATGGACACCTGCAAAAGAGGGGCCACAAGCTCGTCAGTCCCCCAGCAGCAACCCAGTGCAGCCAAGACACACCCTCTCACAGCCCTGACCAGGGGCTCACCCCTTACAAGTTGGAGAAGACAGTCCTGGGCCTAAGCCCCACCACTGACAGGAAGTGTCACCCTGAGAAATGCACTGGCCCTGCCTAGGGGCTCAGCTCAAGAGGTTGCTATGGAAACCTCTTCTGACAGGGATCAAATCCAACACTCAGGAGCAAAGCAAGTTCTGGATTGACTTCTCAGGAGTCAGTGGCTGAGACCCAACCTAGAGCCAACACACCCTGCTCTGCCTTCCTAATGCTTCTTCTCTCCCTGCCCCCACAAGGAATCTAACAGACTCAAGACCAGCACATTCCATGAAAAATAAAAGGGTCACCCCCAGGAGGGCTGTGCCCACATGAACTGGCTGGATTGCCAGGCACATGAGCAAGTAACTCCTAGGCTCCACGGGCAGACACACTCAGCACAAGAGACCCACCTTCAGCAAGGGGTCTACATGCTCCAAGAACCAGCCTACCACTGCATGCCCTGCCTCATGGTAGGCCACGGTTGTCATTTCACTGGGCTGCAAGACCTGAGTCTTCTTCTCAAAGCCTACAAATCACATTCCCAGGTGAGTGAGAGGCAGGGGAAAAAAAGCCCAACCTACACCCCACCAGACTGAGGGCCTGGATCTGCTGCCACACTTGATTCCCAACACCCACCTGGGAGTCCCTCCCTCTAGGGCAGAAGGTGGCAGAGAGGCCTGGGCTGCCCCAAACTGTAGCTCCATGCTATGTCCTAGTTCTGGGGGACATTCCCACCCAACCTCCATGCCCCACCTTACTTCCCACTCCTCAGGCACAGGCTGCTTCAAGAAGCAGCTGTGAGCCAATGTGAGTCAGAGGTACTGTGTCCTTTCTGGGGCATGACAAGAGGCAAAACCCAAGCATGGTGGAACAAAGAGGGCAGTTCCCAAAGATCTCACAGCCCAGCCCCACAATGACAGGACAGAGAAGCAAACAAGAGCAGCACATGTTGAGCTGCATGGATCATCAGTCCCCAGAATGCCCTTGACAAATTCTGGGTTTTGCTTTGAGCTACTTAGTAGATATTATATGTCAAAAAAAAAATCAAATGAAAACAGAGCTCAAGGATAACCTCTCAGCTAGCTGATTTGGTCTCAGCATGGGGCAGGACCATAAGGATGTGCTACTGCTGCCTCTATAATCTCCATTTCCAGGAACAGCACCAAGAAGAGCCAAGCAAGCCCCTGTAGCCTCTGGTAACTCTGGTGGCCCTACAAGACCCTGACACACTGCTAACACCAGCTGCCACCTGCCTGGCCAACCTGAGGCCTGGGCTTCCCCAAACTGCAGGAGACTGTCTCACCCACTGCTGGCTCAAGATGACACTGACACTCACTCCTCAGCAGTGCCAAGAGAGCTCCCAAAGGCTTCCCCAGACTTGCCATTCCTTCTGGCTTCCTCCCCTCCCTTCAGGGAGGACTTGCTTTGCCTTCCACATCTAATACTGACCCTCAGATGGACTGCACACAGTTCCAAGGGCAGGAAAGCTGCTGGGAAATCCACAGACCCAAATTTTGGCTTAGAAAACTAATCATGTCTCCATATGCAAAAGTGAGGTTGGGCTGGGGAGGGCCTTCCAGGAGCAGAGCTGGAAATGCCTCTCCTCCCCAGGGGCGGATGGGCTCACCTCCGATGACTCTCTCAATGGCCTGCTCAAAATGCTTCTGCTGGACAAAAGCACTCAGGTGGCGGGCAGCAATCAGAGCTGCTTCATTGCACATGTTAGAGATATCAGCACCTGACCAGGAAGAAGAGATGGTTAGTGCTCCCTGACAGCTACAGTGACACCCAGATGGGATGTGTTAAAGGTAGAGGCCAGGGTTAAACTTTAGAGGAAAACTGCAAGGTAGCGGGAACCATTTCATCATTCATCATTATTTTTAGCCAAATTTCCTGGTTAAACAACTTTACTAAGAAATAATTCAAATACCATACAAGTGTGTATTTTAGGCATATACATCACTGGTTTTTAGTAAAATCAAATTGTGCAACTAGGGAACAATCTAGTTATAGGACACTGCCCATACCTGAGACACCCCATGCCTGTTCACACTTAATCCCACTCCCACCCATCCACCCACGGATCTGCATTCTCAGCATTTCCTATCACTGGGGTCACGTCAGATGTGGCTCTTCTTTGCCTGGCATCCTTCACTGAGCACATTTGACAGCTCCGTCTATGCTGTAGCAAATATGGGTACTTCATTTCTTGTTCTTTTTTCTATTTGATACAGGGGATTGAACTCAGGGGCACTCAACCACTGAACCACATCTCCAGCCCTATTTTGTGTTTATTTTAAAGACAGGGTCTTTTATTTAAAGACTGAGTTGCTTAGAGCCTCACCACTGCTGAGGCTGGTTTTGAACTCATGATCCTCCTTCCTCAGCCTCCCCAGCTGCCGGGATTATAGACGTGTGCCACTGTGCCCAGCTGGGTACTTCATTTCTTTACAGATGAAAGCCGTCCTTTCCTATGCCCTTGTTCTTCATCTGCTCACTGTGAGTGGACACCAAGGTGGCTCTGCTTTTTAGCTGTCACAAATTACGATACTCTTGGCTCTTAAATATATGCTTTATCCACTTTGAGCTTGTTTTTAAATATGATGTCAGGTAGGGGGTCTAACACCTCCTTGGAAATCCAGTAGTCCCAGGACTTCTGTAGAAGGGACTAATCTTTCCCCCATAGAATGCTCTCGGCACCTTTGTCAAAAACCAGCTGACCATAAATGCAGAGGTGGGTTTCTATTTGGACTTTTTTTCCCCTCTATTTGGACTTTTAACTCCATTCAGTGGTCTATGTCCATCCTTGTGCCAGGACCACACTGTTGTTTGCCACACTTCTATAAGAAGTTCTGAAATAGGGCAGTGTGAGTCCCACTTTGTCCTTTTACAAGGGGTCCTCTGTAGTTCCGTTTGAATTTCAACTTCTGTCCGCTATATCTCCTCCTTCCCACTGTGCATATGGTTCACAGACCACATCTTTATACACTGTGTGCTCATTAGCATTCATCTATAATGAGTTTCATGCATTTGTTTTTTAAATGCTATCAAAAAACTATAAACTCTAACGATACTGGCCTTGATTATCCTCTTTTGCTAGTGCCACTTCTTCACATGACTTCAGTCACTGTCATTGCGAATCTAAAGCCTGAAGCTTCCTCCAACATTTCTCACAGGGGAGGCCTACTAGTAAACTCCTTCATTGTCTTCAAAATCTACAACGTAACAGTTCCTCTTTCATTCTTGATATAGAATTAGAATTCTTGATATAGATATAAAATTCTCAGCTGACCAATTTTACTTTCAATTTTTTTTAGTTGTACGTGGACACAAAACCTTAGTTTTTTTATTTTTTTAATTTTTTTTTTAGTTGTCAATGGACCTTGATTTTACTTATTCATATGTGGTGCTGAGAATCAAACCCAGTGCTCACACGTGCTAGGCAAGCGCCCTGCCACTGATCCACAACCCAGCCCATTAATTTATTTTTTCATGGCGCTGAGGACTGAACCCAGTGCCTCATACGTGCTAGGTAAACGCCCCACCACTGAGCCACAACCCCAGCCCCATGACACATTTTCTTCTGGCACCCTGTACCTCTTGTCAGTGCCTTCTGGCCTACACAGTTCCTGAAGAAAACCTGGCTGTGACTCCTTCATTGCATGTCTGTCTCTCCTGTTGCTTTCAAGACTCTCATGTTTGGCTCTTAACAGATGGATTATGATGTGTCTCCCTGGATCTCTTCTGAACCTATTCATACTTCTGAGTTCAGAGTTTCTCAGATGTGCAGGTTCAGGTCTTATCCAGTTTGGGACGTTTTGAACCATTATTGCTCTGAACATTCTTTCTGCCCCAGGCCCTCAACTGTCCTGGAATTTCCACAATGCATGCTGGTCCTTGCAGCAATGCACCACAGGCCCTTAGGCTTTGCTTTTCACTCTTGTTCCTTTCTGCTCTATGGAGTGGTTAACTTCCTTTGCTGTAGCTCCAGTTTCTCTGGTTCTCCTCTGACTGCTCAAATCTGATGAGGCTCTAAAGCTTACAAAAGGCTGCTCACAGGGTGAGTAGGCAGGGAGCCCCTTGAAAGGTCCGCACCCATGCCTAGGGTTCAGACCACTCTGGCAGGAAAATAAGAATGTTATCACAAGAGACTGGGTTTCTGCTACAGAAACACAGAGGAACCATCCCAAAGTGTGATGTGTCTTCACTTCAGTTTTCGGTCCTTACTAAGTCTGAACAGAATTAAAAACAAACTCAAGTGGCCACCAATAGGCTGTGGGGAGAAGATCCCCAAGGCCTTTGAATGTCTTAACAGGTTCAATGTTCTACAGACCAGAGTGGACACTTGCCAGGACCAAATATGAAGGCACAGAAAACACCTGCCAAATGCCACCAGTTGGGCGTACTTGGCTCCTGGCAGGGTGAAGGTTCAGCCCAGCAACACTCACCAGTGAAGCCTGGAGTGAGTGCTGCCAGCTTCCTTGCCAGGGCATCATTCCTGAGGCTCTCATCCAGCTTGAGAGGATGCAGGTGGACTTTGAAGATGGAGGACCTGCCTTTGATGTCAGGGGGGCCTAGTGAAGAAATAGGGAGACACACACAAGCTCTGTGTTTACTGGACCTTCAGAGTAGGGTCCCCAACAGTCACCTCACGTGACTGCAAGGCCAGCCAGGAGCACACTCTGCCACTGCCATCTGGCTAGAGCCAGCGTGCAATGGCAGAACAGATCAAAGTGCATGTGTGTTTAGCTCTTCAACTCAATTATTCACCCTAACTGCCTCGATCAATATTAAATCCAGTTCCAGGCCATGTAACCAACCAGACAGCAAGGAAAATGAGCACTGCCCAGCTGCCCAGAGAACCCACATGGACTAGTGTCCCAGTGGGAAAGTGTCAGGGAAGACAAAGACAGTGGGTTGTCAGGGTGAAGGGCGAGGTACAAACTCTTTGTATTCTAAACTATTTTTTTATAATATGGTACAAAAACAAAAGCTGGAGAGTACAAATCTGCTACATAATGCCCACCTACATGCACTGCAGTGACATTTTGACATAATAACACAGCAGCACCATGGGGTAGTTGAGTATCTCCAAATTTTCAAAATATTATCTTTCTTACTTCAGGATCCCCATCAAAATTGTCTCCAAATATGCAGCGAACAATCTACCCAATTTTTAACCCCAGAGGCTGAGGACTAAACCCAGGTACCTAAGCAACTCACCAAGGTAAATCTGGCGATCAAACCGGCTGGGACGCATCAGGGCTAGATCAAGGATGTCAGGGCGGTTGGTGCCAGCCAGCACCACCACATTGGTGGTAGGGTTGAACCCTGGAGAGAGAACCAGGTGAGCCCAAGGAAGACCCAGGCCAGCACATCTCCTTCCCTGCTGCTTCCCTCTGCTCATTCCATACCACACTGCAAGGGCTATCAGGCAGGCAAGAGGCCCTGCCCAGCTGGCTGGCCCAACCTGACTGAGGATCCTCTCTGCTTCCTGGGCAGTGTCACTCACCCTGGCTCCTGGCAGTCTGTCCCCTCCTATGTCAGCTGAGTGCCTCTCTGCCAGCAGGAAGTCAGACATGCCTCAGCTAAATGAAGACTCTACAGCCCACCTCAGGGTTGTGGGAAGTCCCACCACCTGGATCTCCTCACCACTCATTCCTGGTTCCCCCTGCCCAACTCCACATGATGCTCAGCAAGACCACAGTGCAGGACTACCCAAGGGTGGGCAAGGAGGAGCAAAGAACAGGGATGCCAACCAAGGAAGAGGGTACAGGATGGTGGCAAGGCGTCCACCCACTCCTGTCCACAGTCCTCTCCAGTCCAGCCCTCCAGAACAGAGCACATTTTTTGTTAGACTCTGAAGACAATAAAAGACTTTGGAAGCAATTTTGGCCTACACAGAAAAATAGGAACCCAGGCCTGACTGCTATCCTCAGACAGGGCCACCTCTAACATCAGCAAATAGCCGATTCCTGGGGAATGCGACTCTAGGAGCATTCCCACCATCCCCTAGCAAGACAAGTTCCCTGTACTCAAATTGCAACAATGTGGTCTATGAACACCTGCCCTCCTCTGGAGCATCCTGTTATGTGCCAGACAAAGGGTGCCCACATGACCAGCACCCAGTGAAACCCTAGAGCTTTGAATCTCTCACCGGCTCTCAGGTCAACACCACTTCAACATGCTGTCACATTCTGGAGGACTCTGGAAGCAGTGCCTGGCCTCCCCTAGACCCCTATACCTGTCCTATGTACCTTCCGCCTTGGTTTTTTTTTTTTTTTTTTTTTTTTTTTTTTTTGTTTTTTTTTTTTTTTTTTTTTGGTACTAAGGATTGAACTCAAGTGCACTTAACCACTGAGCCACATCCCCAGCCCTTTTTTGAAACAGAATCTCGCTATGTTGCATAGGGCTGTGCTAAATTACTGAGGCTGTCTTTGAACTCTTGATCCTCCCGCCTCAGCCTCCAAAGCCGCTGGGATTACAGGTTGTGACCCTAGCTGGCCCTCCTGGTTGGTTTTTTTGCATGTACTTTCACTGTGAAGAAACACAACTTTTCAACTACAAGATCAGCTTGTGACTCTGGAAAAAAAATCAAAGTCAGGGGTAGTCTTAGGGACCCAACCTGACCCTCTAACCCTTTGAAGCCAAAGAGCCAATGAAAGCTTTTCCAAATTCAAAAAAATGGCATAAATTGGGCACAGTGACACCCTGTAACCAAAACTACCAAGATGCTGAGGGAGGAAGATACAAATTTGAGGTTGGCCTGGGCATCTTACTGAGACCCTGTCTCAAAATAAAAAAATAAAAAGGACTGGGGATGTAGCTCAGTACTAGAATGTCCCAGTTGTATGAAAAAACAAAACAGAAGAAAAAGAAACCCCTGGCCTATATGCTAAACATACCTTCCCGAGAAGGAAACACCCAGATATTGGGGAGGGAGGGGACAAGACACCAAGCAGGAAGAGCTCGGCTGTTTCTGCTCCATCCATGGTGTGACTGACATTCGTCTGCTTGGTCTCAGCTGATTTTCCCCCACCCAGAGAAGCGCATCTGCCTCACTCTGCCCCTGCAGTGGGGGCTGCTACATGGATCAATACGGCCTTCTCCACTGTGTGCCTGAGAGTAGCCTTCCTTAAAATAGAGGCATCGGGGATTCTCTGCCGAGGAGCACCCTTCCAGAAACAAGAGACTAGAGGAGGGCCTCCTGCTAAGGGTCCACTCACCATCCATCTCCACGAGCATCTGGTTCAGCGTGTTTTCCTGCTCGCTCTGGCCTCCAAGGTGCCCGCGGCCTCGCTTCCTGCCAATTGCATCGATCTCATCAATAAATAAGATACAAGGAGCGTTTTTACGGGCCATTGCAAACATGTCACGAACCTAGAAGAGGAACCCAGAGTCTATTTTGTTACACACACACAGCATGGCAACACATCCTTGACCCTGTCCTTGCCGCTGTCACAGGTGAGATGTACTCAGCTTGTTGTCAGGGTCACACAGTCTGTTGCTAACAAGGTGACCAGTCCTCCTCAAGAAGTGGCTGGCACCTTCTGAAGCTGATCACCCTTTCACCTACCCTTGCTGGTCCAACACCGACAAATATTTCCAGGAACTCGGATCTATTCACAGTGATAAAGGGCACACTGGCCTCTCCTGCAGTCACCTTGGCAAGAAGTGTTTTGCCAGTACCGGGTGGACCTGTGAGCATGGCTCCCTGCAACAAAAAAGAGACACTTGGCTCTCAAAGGGAACAGATGGAACATGAACCCCACTTCCCACTCAGCTGACTAGAAATCTGTAACATGGAACATGGAAGCCCACGTAACCTAACTCAGAAGAGTGGGCTCTTCCTACAGGAAGAACTCCAGAAGCAGAGCTGTTGGGTCAAAGGCGGGAATAATTCTGAGGGGGTTATCACCAAGCTGCTCTCACACCCACAAGGTGAGAACCACAACGGCCATCTGGCTGGAACTGTGCCACAGCAAGACTATCCAGCTGTGCTGCCTTGTTGGTCTGAAGAGCACAGATCTCTTTAAAGGCACTTCTCCAGGTATTCAGGTTGGATATCTTTGTGTTCAATGTGCTCTTCTACCTTTTTCTTACCTTTTTCTATTCAAGCTTAAAATTTAAATTCAATTCACACCAGGGCGGTGGCACAACTGTAATCCAAAAACTACTCAGGAGCCTGAAGCAAGAGGGTCACAAATTCAAGGCCAGCCTCAACAACTTAACAAGACCTTATCTCAATATAAAAAGGGCTGGGGTGTGATTCAGTGGTAAAGCTCCTTGGGTTTGATCCCCAATACTGGAAACAAAACAAAACACGATACTAATTCACGTCCCTGTAACACAACTCCATTTTTATTTTATGGATTACAGTTATATCTGAAAACTGAAAGGAGACTTACAGGGTGGGGATGGACTGCTCCATTTCTAGTCAAGAAGGCTGGATTGCAGCTGGGCATGGTGGCATTCTGAGGCTGAGGCAGGAGGACCACAAGTTCAAAGCCAGCCTCAGCAACTTAACAAGGCCCTAAGCAACTTAGTGAGACCCTGACTCAAAATGAAAAATAAAATGGGTTGGGGATGTGGCTCAGTGGTAAACTGCCCCTAAGCAACTTAGTGAGACCCTGACTCAAAATGAAAAATAAAATGGGTTGGGGATGTGGCTCAGTGGTAAACTGCCCCGGGTTTAACCCCTAGTACCAATAAGAAGAATGCTGGGTTGCTATCAGATCTTTTTTTATTTTATTTTTTTTGTTTTTGTTTTGTGGTACTGGGGGTTGAACCCAAGGTACTCTACTGCTGAGCCACACCCCCAGCCCATTTTTATTTTGAGACAAGGTTTTGCTAAGTTACCCAGGCTGCTCTTGAACTTGTGATCCTCCTGCCTTAGCCTCCAGAGTTGCTGGATTACAGGCGTGAACACCACATCCAGCTGTTAAACCCACCAAATGTAGAGCCCTGCGTCCTCCCAATGTGGTCACAGAGCACTTCCTTTTCCATGGCACATATGGGTCTGATACATAATAGCCCACAACATGGATGATCTTTATATGCCATGGGACAGGACACAAAGTCTCAGGAGCCATCCTTGCAGGCATAAGAACATTCTAGGGGCAGGATATATCCATGGCATGCCATGTCCTATTCCTGTGCGCAGGAAACACATCTATGTGAGTGTAGTCAATTCTTCATGACAGACTCCCAGCAGGGGGCAGTGATGATTTGGGGAAACCAGCCTATAATGTAGCACACAGGCTGACAGAAGCTTCCACTCGCAGGAGCCCAGCCTGGCTGACAAGGGGGACTCATACTTGGGGTGACAGGCCTCCCTTAGAACCTGACTCCTTTACCCATTCCTTCCACCAGACACATTTTCCCCAATAAATCCAAACACCCAGAACAAACCATATGAAATAAGTGTGAGACACACCCACTCTAGCACCTGGCTGCCAACAGAGGTGCAAGGCAGCTGGGTGGCGACTTGGCAAAGTTCCACCAGGAAGCAGAAGGCAACCATTCTGCACCTGCCACACCCACATGCTTTCTGGCCCCAACACACACCAACTGTAAAACAGACACATCCAGTGTCCTGGTTGGAATTCCTGGTTCACAATGGTTGCTAATCTTTTTGCATATTAATCACAACAAACTGTCCAGTGGTGCCCAATTTGTAGGGAGGAATTGGGGGAACACAAAGCTACTGAAAGGGCTTAAGTGTCATATAAGCATGACCTCAACCAGGAATTTCTAGCCTGGTCCAGAAAGCAGAGAGGACTTGAAGTTTCTGTGACCACACAGGATACCAATCTTCCTGGTAAAAAAAAAAATCCAAGCTTCCATCGAGCCCTAAATGGGTCCATGACCACACAAAGGCACCAGTGGACTGACTGGCCCTCTGTACTGCAGCCAGCTTTGCCAGGGCGGTTTCCTCTCAGGACACCCAGGCTGCCACCAGCCCCAGGATACACTGCTGTCTGGCTGCATACTCCTGCACTGTGCTGTCCACCAGCCTTCCAGAAAGCTGTGTCTGCCCCCAAACCTGACCACGGAGGCTACTTGTTTTAACTTTGTAAGTTGATATTACACAAACTAACAAAACAGAGTTTTTTAAAACTCCTTCAAAATCTAAGATGAAGGCTGGGCTGTGGCTCAGCGGCAGAGCGCTCGCCTTCCATGTGTGAGGCACTGGGTTCGATTCTCCGTACCACATATATAAACAAAATAAAGACACTATATTCATATATAACTAAAAAGAGGTTTTTTTTAAAAAAAGCAAATAAAGTAAGGTGAAAGCTCTGAATAATTAAAGAATAAAGGAAATTTGTCTTATAAAATGTTTTCAAGTTGCATAGATAAGAAAAGTATGACAGAATGCACGAAAATACACAGGTACTGCCTCAGACTGCACCTAAGTAAGTTCTTGCTTCTACTGAGAAAAACAAACTTGCAGAAAAGATGTGGTTCAGCCAGGCATGGTGGCACACACCTATGACCCCAGCAACTTGGGAGGTTGAGGCAGGATGATCTCAAGTTCAAGGCCAGACTCAGCAACTTAACAAAGCCCTAAGCAACTCAGTGAGACCCTGTCTCTAAATAAAAAATAAAAAAGGTTAGGGATGTGGCTCAGTAGTTAAATGTCCCTGGGTTCAATCCCTAGTAAGAAAAGAAAAGATGTGGTTCACACAGGACAATTCAACAGAGGTGCAACTGGGGAGGATCGAACTCAGGGGCACTCAACCACTAAGCCACATACCCAGCCCTTCATATATTTTATTTAGAGACAGGGCCTCACTAAGTTGCTTGGGGCCTCGCTAAATTGTTGAGGCTGGCTTTGAACTTCAGATCCTCCTGCTTCAGCCTCCTGAGCTGCATAGATAAGAAAAGTATGACAGAATGCACAAAAATACACAGGTACTGCCTCAGACTGCAGTGCCACCACATGTGGCATGTGCCACCAAACCCAGTTTAACAAAGGATTTTGTTCCCTGGAACTAAACTCAAAGCAATGACTGGCCTCTATATGAAGACCAGTAAAGGAACGTATATTTGTGTTTTAAGTTTTAAAAAAAGAAACAAACAAAAAAATCACACATATTCCCATGTCCATTTCATAGACCTAACATTATGGAATTTTAGGACTTGTGGTCTCAAGTCTAACAGATAAGAGGATTTTTTTATTATTGTTTTTTGCATTACAATTCTTAATACACCTTTATACCACAATTTATCATATCTCTATATACAAGATAAGAGGATTTTTACTGTTCTGTTCTACAAATTTCCATCCTCTATTGTTATTAATAAAATATAAACTCAAAAAAATCATTTGTCTGATATTCATTCTCTGAACAATAGCAATCTTTGGCTTTGACTTGGAACTCAGAGCATGACTGTTTTCTGAAATCAGTACCTTTGGAATTTTGGCTCCTAAGTCCTGATACTGCTTGGGGTTCTTCAAGAAATTCACAAACTCCATAATTTCCAGTTTGGCCTCTTCACAGCCAGCCACATCTGCAAACCGCACATTGATGTTGTGCTTCAGGATCTTGGCTATTGTTTCACCAATGCTGAAGAGGCCCCCTCCTTGTCCGCTGCGCCCGGCCTCTATTGGACCCCTTCTCACAGCATAGAGCAGGATGCCAACCAGGAGAAGAGTAGGTACCAGGCTTCGCAGGAAAGAGCTGAGAACCAAGGAGACCATTCATCATATCAGCAGCATCACCTTCAGCAGGAAGAGTAACCCACTCTAGAATTTGCTACACAAAAGGGCAGTTTCTTCTTGAAGAGTGTCAAGGTCTGTCTATAAATTCGGCCTCCCCAGTTCTAACAGCACTGATGCCCCAACCCACATCTCCCTCAGGAGGAGCTGCAGACCCCATGTAGCTCCTCACAGGTGAGGTCCACAGACCAGTCCCATCACAGCACAATACTTGCTCCTACACTCTCCAGAGGCCCAATTCCACCACCCCTCAAGGTGGCTCTAGTCACTGTCAGCTCTTAGAACACACCTCAGCTCCAACCAGTAGTCCTGGCAACTGAGCCAGTAAGAACAAAACCCCAGTTGCCATACGCAGCAGTACCCGAAGGAACACTCAGGAGCTGCACCAGGAGACTGAGGCCCCACAGGCCTCCCCACCAGCACTTGTAAGTCACCTCCAGAGCCCTGTCTACCTCACTGCTATGGTGTGAATGTCGTCTCCCACACCCATGTTGGAACCCAACTGTATAAGTCGAAGGCCATTCAAGAGGCAACTGATGGTGAGAGCTGGGCCCTCATGAAGGGATTAAGGTCACCACAACAGAAGTGGGTTAGTTCTGGGGGATGGGTCAGTCATAAAAATGGCAAAGTTCAGTCCTACCCTCCCTCTCATCCTCTCTCCCCTGCACATTATGATGCAGCAAAGACCCTTGCCCAGATATGGCCCTTCAGCCTTGGACTCCAGACTGTAAGACAGTTTCCTTTCTTTACAAATTACCCACTCTCTGGTCTTCTGTCACGGCAGCAAAAAATGGTAAGGCACTCACCTTCCTCGTTCTCACTGCAATTCCCAATCTGCCCTGTCTAGAAGAAACCAACTAAGCCATCACCACACCGACTCTTCATACCCTTCTGGCTAAAGCTGGTCCTGATCTCAAACTCTACCCATTCAGTTTCCAAGCTGGAGGAAGGGCCAGAGCAATGATGTCCCTATGTAGTAAATATGAGAGCAGGACAACACTTGTGTGCTGTCCTGGGATGCACACAGGAGCATTAGAGATGGATCTGCCCTCAAGTCCACAAGCATGGCAGGAACACAATGGGGGGTGGAATGCAGGTTCAGAGAGCAAGCTGATGCAGGATCTGTGGGAAGCAAGTCTGTCTGTGTGCAAGTGAGCAGAGACTGCTCACCTGGATTTTTGACTCAACGGTTCAGTGAGAGTCAGGGTGCAGGGATCGCAGCACACTTTCAAAGAACTCCCACAGGGTTCCATTGCACAGTGGAATCTGCACTACAGTAATGTGCTACAACACATGGCATCTTTGTCTTATTCTTCCCATTTAATGCTTTTTAAAGGTTACGTAGATAAATATTTCTTTGCTTCAATTCTCTTCTCATTAAGACCTACGCTAAACTATGGCATATATCTGCAACCCACTTAACTGGAAGGCTAAGGCAGGAAGATCTCTTGAGCCCAGGAGTTTGAGATCTGCCTGGGCAAGACTCCACCTCAAAAAAGTAAATATAAAATTTTAAAAATTAAGCCAGACCAAATGAATATATACTCTTTTACTAAAGACACTGTAAAGATTAGCACATACTATGACATACTTGGGGGAAAAAATTCCAAAAGAGATTCAACAGTATTTGTTTTGTGTTCAGAATCAGAGGCCCAAGAATAAAGTGTCTCATGTCCACCTCACCCCTGCCACACACCCGTCACTCTCAGTGGTGTAGACCACAGCAACCTGGTTGGTTGGCTCAATCCCCAGTTCCCACTGAGCAGATTCCAGGTTCTGCTCAAAGGTGTCAACACTGCCAATGTTAAACCACATGTACCTCTGCAGAGACCAAGAGCAAGTTTAGGTGCACCTCTGTGTTCCCCTGAGACT